TCAGCCACCACAGATGTAGAGATGTGGGGTATTGGAAGGTGGTGTTTACCTTTCTTAAATTTTTTTGAGATATTTCTCTTTTTTTGAATATTTTATTTATTTATTTGAGAGGCAGAGTTACAGAGAGAGAGAGAGAGGGAGAGACAGAGAGAGAGGTCTTCCATCTTCTGGTTCACTCCCCAAATTGTTGCAATAGCCAGAGCTGAGCCAATCCGAAGCCAGGAGGCAGAAGCTTCTTCTGGGTATCCCATGTGGGTGCAGGGGCCCAAGAATTTGGACCATCTTCCACTGCTTTTCCAGGCCATTATTAGGGAGCTGGATTAGAAGAGGAGCAGTCGGCATAGAATGATAATCCCTTTAAGTAACACTCTGACCTCAGAATCGGCCCTTAAGGAATTCAGATGTGGCTGAAAAGCCTATGAGAGCATTTCAGGCATGGAAAGCCAATACACTGTGGCAAAAAAATCCCTACATGAAGGATCTCTGTGAGTGAGGCCCCAGTGTAAAGAAAGAGCCATCAAAGGAGGACATACTTTTCTCTGAAGGGAGGAGATAATTTCTACTTTGTTTATGGCCTTCTCCAAATACTTACAGAGTTTGTGGTCACACAAGGCTTCCATAACCTTGGCAGCTCATGAAAAGAGCCTCAGGTGATCAATGACATCATAAATAAGAGTGTTAATTGCTAAATTAACAACAGGAGTCACTGTGCACTTACTCCCCATGTAGGACCTCTGTCCTTAATGAGTTGTACTATGAAAATTAATTGCAAAACTTGTTCTCAAACAGTACTTTTATATATTGTGTGTGCATGGGTGGGTACAAATTGTTGAAATCTTTATTTAGTATAGAGTTGGTCTTCTGTATATAAAGCTAAACTAAAAATGAAATCCTTAATGAAGAATGGGATGGGAGAGGGAGTAGGAGGTGGGGTGAGAGTGGGGGTAGGAGGGAAGATATGGGGAGAAGAACCCTATATTTCCAAAGTTGTACCTAAGAAATGTGCATTCATTAAATAAAAGCTTTTTTTAAAAAAGGACGAGGAGCAGCTGGGACACGAACCATTGCCCATAGGGGATGCGGGTGCTGAAGGCAGAGGCTTAGCCTACCTTTTTAAGAGATAGCATCAAGAGAGCCAAAGGTGAGAATCATTTGGGCAAAACTCGTGAGATAGCTTTCTTTCCTCTTAAGTGGATGCCTGGCAAGTTCACTCCAAATAAGCTTTCATAGCTCAGTTTTTCTGTTGACACGACCCACACATTATAGGAATTTGGACCACAGGAAAGGGGAACAGAACAACAGTGGGATGACAGCGACCTGGCACCTGTCCCAGCTGAAAGCAACATAAAACTTCATCCTCAGTGGTTTCAGCAAAAGAGAGGGCATTTTCTCACATAACTGACAGCTCATGGGTGCAGCACGATTCAGGACTTAAACACACAATGTCCCCTGAGTTATCTCCCAGGTCTGCTGACTCCGCATTGACTCCTGGTCCAGGCTGTCCTTGGGGCCGCCATGGTTTCAATCTTGGTGCAGTCATTCCCCCTTTATCCTCAGGGCACACATTCCAAGACCCGCAGTGAGGGCCTGAAATTGTGGGAAATACCAAACCCCACATCCACTGTTTTCTCCTACACATACACACTTGGGATAAAGTTAGAAATCGGGCATAGTAAGAGATGAGCAATGATAACAGATCAAATAGAATAATCATAATGACATACTGCAGTAAAAGTTGTTTAAAACTTAGATTGTAGGGCTGGCATTGTAGCATAATGGGTTAAGTCACTGCCTGCAATGCCAGCATCCCACATGGGTGCTGCTTCAGGTCCCAGCTGCTCCACTTCTGACCCAGCACCCTGCTAATGCATTTGGGAAAAGCAACAGAAGATGGTCCAAGGATTTGGGCCCCTGCGACACACATGGGACACCTGGAAGAAGCTCCTGGCTTCAGCTTGGTCAAGTACTGGCTGTTGCAGCCATCTGGGGAAGAGCTCCCTTCTGGATGGAAGAGCTCTCTCTTTCTCTCTCTCTCTCTCTCTCTCTCTCTCTCCCTCTGCTTCTCCCTCCCTCTCTGTTAACTCTGACTTTTAAAGTAAAATATATTTTTTAAAAAAACTTACAATTTGTGTATTTCTAGAATTCCCCATTTATTTCTGGAATTTTCCAGACCACAGTTGACCACAGGTAACTAAAATCATAAATGTGAAGCCACAGACAAGGGGCACTGCTGTCTGTCACAACAGTTGGCTTGACTGAAAGCAGCCACCTCACTGAGAGGCCTCCCCAGAGGCCTGGAGAGGGGGCATTGGTTCCATCTAGATACCCAGACTCCCAGTAACACCTGGATGACTGGAAGACTCTCTTACAGGTCACTCGTGTCTCCTGAATGCATCCCCGGCCTCTCGTGATCCATTTGACCCTGTGTTCCGGAGTCAAATGCACCTTTTCTCTTTATCCCCTTTACAGGTGCCTGCACTGAAAGAGGGCCTCGCCTGTTGCTCCCCCGAACACTTACACCTGAGCCAATCCCCTCTCTCCTGCTCATCTCCTGTTCATCAAAGGGCTTAGGAGGTTCAGAATAAAGCAAGCTGAGTCAGCCAAATCCCTGCCCTTCAGACCAGATTGTAGTCCTGCTTCCAAAAAAATTGTCCCCTTTTTATCTTCTTTTTGTGAGTCAAGCTCACCATTTACAGAACACGGTGCTGTTAATTGCTGCAATGACGGCAAGAGTAGCTTTAAAGGTATTGTGCTTTGCAAAAGGGCCAACAGGGAAAACTCCAGTAACTGTTGCTCTGGGGACGTTTAATAGGTTTTTACTTTGCAATGTGTTCCATTCCTACGGCGTGCTTCCCGCTACTCAGTTATGTTTGTGTTGACCTGTTCATCGACAATGCAAGAGAAGTTAGGGCAATTTTCTATCTAGAATTTCTATTTTCACCAAAAATCTAGTCTAGCCTGATGAATCACGCCCATGCACTCATTCACATTATTTATCGACACAATACAATATGTGGTAAAAAAAAAAAAAAATGAAGTTGGGAGCTGGAAAGAACTGATTTCAAGTTCCTTCTTGGTCTCTAATGAACTGGGTGGTCTGGGTTGGGAGATAGTTATTTAATCTCTTTGAGCATCATTTCTCATATGCTTTTCAGAATTCATCAAGATGACAATGTTTGGAAAGTACCTAGCACAGCACCTGACATGTAAAAATTAGTTAATGCATGTTCGTGTCAAGGGTCTACCGTGTGACAGCTACTAGGCTAGACTCTGGGCTACAGAGATGATATGTAAGCAATCCCGAAAAAAGTCAGGGGAACATTAACTTACTTTTTTTTAATTTGAAAATCAGAGTTACAGAAAGAGAAAGAGAGGGAAAGGGAGAGACAGACACAGAGAGAGATCCTCCACACACTGGTTCACTCCCCAAATGGCCACAACATCCAGGACAGGGCCAGACTAAAGCCAGGAGCCAGGAGCTCCCCCAGGTCTCCCACATGGGTGCAGGGACCCAAGCACTTGGGCCATCCTCCACTGCTTTCCCAGGTGCATCAGTAGGGAGCTGGATCCCAAGTAGAGCAGCCAGGACTCGAACCATCACCCATATGGGATGCCGGCATCGCAGGTGGCAGCTCAACCCAATACACCACAATACCAGCTCCTGGAAAAATGAAATTAAAGACAAGCTTATGTTGGTGCCAAAAATGTTGAAATCTATGCATAGCTTTTCCACAATATTCATTTTACATAAACTTTTTAAAGACCCTTCATATGTAAGGATTTCAATATTTTGGGCACCAGCAAAACTAATCTTTTAATTCCATTTTCCATGAACTTTTTGAAGTGCACATACATATCAGCAATATTAAAATGAGATATGATATTAAAACAAACCTAGTCTGTTCCCCTAGGAAATCTAAAATCAGAGGGTGGAAGGTACTTGCTCATAGTTAGTGTGGCAGGGCTGGAGTGGGACTCAGACCCTTGCTTCTGCCTTGGTGTCCAAGTTTCCAGTCCCTGTTAAGACGGCTATAGATTGGCTAAGATAAGCAGACGTGCAAAGACTATTGCTCAGGCTATGCAGATCTGAATTGCACTTCAGGTTAAATTCTTAAACCCGCCCTGGTCCCCAGTTGCTGCCTGATGATACCCATGCAGCCACTTGCCTCTGCCGACTTAAAATTGGTGGCTAGAAGGTCTGTGGCTCCCAGCCCAGCTCTGAAATCATGTCCTGTAGCAAGTGGCTGATGTCCAGGGCCCCTCAGAGAAGGCAGGGCAGATCATAATCACTGATTAGGTAGGAAGGCAGGTCAGCAAGGGAGGGTGCCCATGTCCCTGGCACAGAGCTCTGTGGATGGTGGGTCTATCTTGAGTCTCATAAACACCATCCAATCATCTAATCATAATTATATCATGCTCACCCCATCCGAGTCCCTTGGCAAGGCCCTAAGTGCCCCAACTTAGATCCAGGATCACAGCCAACTCTTGATGCTGCCTTTCATTTGTTTTGGCTTCTGGCAGGGAATGAGGGATTTTTAATTCCAGTCCAGATGGGTGCCAGCTCTCCAGCAGAGAATCGGCCAGGCACTGACACAGATGCCTTGGGAGCCAGACGGAGACCACGGCCAGGGGCAGACTCTTCCTACACAATATGTAGCCTATTGCACCTGGAGAATTTGGGACCCCGTTTCTTATACCTTCCCAAACCAAAAATCAGATTACCATGCAACTGTGAGTGTAGAGAAAGCCGGAATTCTGCCTTCAAATCTAATTAATGTAGGTGATGGGGTCCCAAAAAACTGTAGAAGAAATGAGAGTGATGGAGCTCCTCGGCAGAGACTGCCCCTTCTTTCAATCACACGTGGAGCCAGATTGAACCATTCGTTCAATAACTGTCTTTGCTTACCATGGAAAGGGAGTCACACAGTTCATGGAACAGGTGCATTATCTTTTAATTCCATGTTGCCATGGATCTTTGAAGCCCCTGCCTATGTGAAATTCTCCCCTCTGTGTAGCATCATAGCAGTGATCAACACAGCACAGGCACTACTGCCTCGGAGCTCACAGACCTGGAAGGACCACGGACAGAGGCACTGGAGCCTTCAACTGCCTGCTGTGAACTCCAGAGGTAGGGAAGTCACACTTAAAGAAGTGAGGTTTGAGCTGAGACCCTACCGCTAGTAGGAGCACTCTGGGCAGAGTGCAGCACACCCCAGACAAGGGGACCAGTGGGAAGGAAGGTCTCTGAAGAGGCCATGCATATCCATGTTAAAAAAGATTCTCACGGCAGTGATGGCTGCCATTTTTTTAGTGCTTATTACATACTGGTTACTTTACTAAGGGTTTTCAAAAAGTTCATGGAAAATATAAATCATGAAAAAAATTGTATAGATTTCAAAAAAAGAGAAAAAACCCTTTTTCATACCAAAATTAATTTGTCTTTTAATTCCATTTCCCCACAAACTGGGGGGAAATATATCTGTGTATATATTACTACTCACAATTTCTTTGCTCATTCACAGATTCATAAGCATTAGTTTGTTTCCGTATCTTGGCAATTATCAATAATGCTGCCGTGAACATGGAGGAGGAGATACCTCTTCAAGACAGTGATTTTATTTCCTCTGAATATAAACCCAGAAGCAGGATTGTTGGATTATATGCTAGCACTTTTGAATTTTAAAAGAATCTCCATACTGTAACAATTTACATTCTCACCAACAGGAGACATGGGCTCCCTTTCCCCAATGCCCTTGCCAACTTCATTATCTCTTGTCTTCTCTGTTAATACAACAGGATGTATGAATTTGTTTTCTTTGTTGCTTTATTTTTGTGTTTATTTAATAATTTAAAGGCAGAGAGAGAGTGAGAGAGAGAGAGAGAGCGAAAAAGAGAGAGAGAGAGTGATCTTTTGGTTCACCCCACCCGCACCCCAAATGCCCACAACAACCAGGGCTGGACCAGGCCAAAGGCTGGATCCCAGAGTTCCATCTGGGTCTGCCTTGTGGGTGGCAGGGGCTCGAGTACTGGAAGCATCAGCTGCTGGCTCCCAGAATGCACACCAACAGGCACCAGCAGGCAGCTGGGTTGGAAGTGGAGTAGACTTGGTCCTTGGCCCTCTGATGTGGGGTGAGCTCCCCACGCAGCAGCTTAACCTCTGCACCACGATGTCCACCCCCCACCCCCATCCCTTATCATAGCCAACATCCTAACAGCTGTGAGGTGATATCTCATTGTGGTTTTGATTTGTATTTCCCTGCTGATTAGTGATATTGAGCAACTTTTCATATACCTGTCAGTCATGCCTATGTCTTCATTGGAAAAATATCTGTTGGGTCCTTTTGTCCATTTTTCAATCAGGTTACTTGTCCTTTTTTTTTTTTTTTTTTTGTAGCTGCATGAGTTGCTTATATATTTTGAATATCACCTCCTTGTTAGATGAATGGCTCGCTAATGTTTCCTTCCACTCTGTAGGATGACTTTCCATTTTGATGATTGTCCCTTTACTATGTAGGAACTTTTTACTTTGATATAGTCCCACTGGTTTGTTTCTGCACGGGTTGCCTATGTTTTTGGTATCATATCTAAAACATTTTGCCAAGTTCAATGTTAAGCTGTCTTGTGGGTATTCTTCTGGGGGTTTTATGGTTTAGAGCATTACATTGAAGTCTTTTTTTATTTGTGTGTGTGTGTGTGTGTGTGTGTGTGGCATAAGATAAATTCATTCTTCTGCATGTGAATGTCCAGTTTTCTCAACACCATTTATTAAAGGCACTACCCTTTCCTAACTGAGCATTCATGGAGTCTTTGTCAAAGGCGAGCTAGTGGTGGAGGTGTGGATTTCTCTCTGCATTCTATTTTGTTCCATTGGCCTCTGTGTCTGTTTTGATGCCAATATCACACTATTTTTATTGCCATCTAGAGATTTGTGATATAATCTGACATCAGAAAGTCCAATGCTTTATTCTTTATCAAGAATGCTATAGTGATTCAGATCTTTTGAGGTTTCATACAAATATTAGTACTATTCTTGCTATTCCTATGGGGGAGGAATGCCTTTGGAATTTTGATAGGATTGCATTGAATCTGTAGATCACTTTGAGTATTATAGACGTTTTGACAATATTACTTTTCCAGTTCATGAACATGGGATAGCTTTCCATTTATCTGTTATCCTCAATGTCTTTCATCAATGTGTTACAGCTTTTCAACAATGTGTTACATCAGTGTGTTACAGTGAACATATATTTCAGCTCTCATTAAATTTATTCTTTGGTTTTTAATTCCTTTGGACATTGTTATGTTAAATTCTTTTCTAGATAAATTCATTGTTAGCCTATAGAAGTACTACTGATTTTCACCTCTTGACTTTGTATCATGCAACTTTACTGAATTTGTTTATTAGTTCTAAAGATATTTTGTGAGCCTTTAAGTTTTTCTGTTTAGAAGATCAAGTCTTCTGCATAAAGAATCAATGCTATGTCTTCCTTTCTGACTTGGGTGTCTTCTACAACTTTTCTTTCCTACTTTATCTGGCTAGCAGCATTCCCAGGACTATCTCTAAGTAGAAATGGCAATATTGTACAATCTTCTATTGTTCCTGATCTTAAAGAGTTTTCACTTTTCACCATTCAGTATGTTGTTGTCTGTGTGCATGTAATATTTGGCCATTCTTAAACGGCCATATATTTCTTCAGTGCCTAATTTTTGAGAGTTTGTATCAAGAAATGATCCTGAATTTTATCAAATGCCTTTTATTCCTCTATTGAGATGATCTTATGATTTTTATCCTTCTTTCTGTTAATGTGTGTCACATTTATTGATCTGTGTATCTTGAGCCTTGCCTACATCCCAGAGACAAATATAGGACTTGATCATCATGCAGCATCTTCATAATGTACTATTCAATTCAGCTTTCTGGCATTTTGTTAAGAATTGTTAAATCTACATTCATCAGAGATATTGGCCTGTAATTCCCTTTTCTTATGGCGTCCTTGTCTGGCTTTGAGATCAAGATAATGCTGGTCTTACAAAATGAGTTTCAATGTATTTCAATGTATTTCTTCTGTTTTTTGGCAGAGCTTGGAGAGGATCTGTATTAATTCTTCTCTAAATGTTTGGAGGAATTCAGCAGTGAAGCCATCTGGTCCGAGATTTTTCTTTGCCGGGAAATGTTTGATAGCTGGTTCAGTCTCCTCACTCATTATTGGTATGCTCAGATTTTTTTTAATTTCTTCACAATTCAGTCCTGGTTTGTATATATCTCTTCTAGGTTATCCAATTTGTTGGGATATAATTGTTCACAGTGGTCTCTTATAATTCTTTGTATTTCTAAGAGATATCTTGAAAACAAATGTTTTGAATTCTTTGTCAAGCAATGCATGTATCTTCATTTCTTTGGGATCAATTACTGGCGAATTAATGTATTCTATTGGCCATGTCATGTTTTGGTGATTTTTTTGTGTTTTTTTGGCATCTTGCATTAGAAGAAGCCGTCACTTCCTCCTCCAGTCTTCCAGCACTCAGGATAGAAACATCTTCACTAGTCATCAGGGCTAGGGACTCTAGGTTCTGTACGAACTTTTGTACGGCTGGAACAACTCCATACCTCCTATGTCTTGTTGGGGAGGAATTTCTTAAGATTGTATCTCTTCTCTCCATCCTGCAGAGAAAGGCTGAGTATTGAGAGTCACTCATTTGCTTTCCCTAGGACAGTGCCTTGAAATTCTTCAGTTGTTGTGCCTTCTCTCAATTCTGCAAAGTACAGCCAGTTGACTCCATGTTCTTGCAAACCATCTGCCAAGGTGTTTGCTACCATCTGGGAAGGGGAGGCAGCCATAGGTTCCAGGGTTAGGGGTGAGACACACAGAACACTGGGCACACTCGTAGCCAGGTGGAAAGTTCACAGCTAAGCATTCTAAGAAGCTCATCAGTGAGCCTCCTAGTAGAGTCTGTGGAGCACTTGGTAGGAGGCACAGCCCTTAGTTGACCCTTAAATTCTATTGTTTTGAGTTTCTACCTCTCCTCCTTGCTCCTGCCCTCTCCCAGCCCTGGGGATCTTCTTGGTGTTCTGGGTGAGATGAACAAGAAATGAGCCTCTTGCGTGGTGTCCTGCATGGCTGCAGCAGCTGGTAGCTCACTCGCTGCACTTCCACCTTCCTCCATGGGAAGAGCTGTGGGCCAAAGGAGTCTATTGCCACAGAGCTGTGCTGCTTTATGGATCACATGGGTGAGTGAAATGATGCTTCTTAACCTCTTCAGTGTGTCTGTTCTTGGCTTGATTGATTTCTTGCTCTGACAGTGTTTGAGATTTCGCTGCTGGACTCCCAGACTCACAGAGGCACACACACCCATAGGTGGTTATCATATCAAGAAACAATGTTATTAAACTCCAATTATCTTTTCACCAAAATGGCACTGAAGGCAAAGAAGGAAGCTCCTACCCTCCCCCACTGAAGCTACAGCAAAGCTTTGAAAGCCAAACAGGCAGTAGCAAAAGGCATCCACAAGGGCCAGTGCTGTGGCATAGCAGGTAAAGCCGCTGCCTGCAGTGCCGCATCCCTTGTGGGCGCCAGTTCAAGTCCCGGCTGCTCCACTTCTGGTCCAGCTCCCTGCTATGGCCTGGGAAAGCAGTGGAAGACGGCCCTAGTGCTTGGGCTCCTGCACCATGTGGGAGGCCCAGAGGAAGCCCCAGGCTCCTGGTTTCAGATTGGCTCAGCTCTAGCAGTTTCGGCCATCTAGGGAGTGAATCAGTTGTTGGAAGATCTCTCTCTCTCTCTCTCTCTCTCTCTCTCCCTCTCTATAATTCTGCCTTTCAAATAAATAAATGAATCTTAAAGAAGAGAGAGAAAGGAAGAGAGAGAGAAAGAGAGAGTGAGAGAAAGGAAGAGAGAGAGAGAGAAAGAACCACAGACACACACAAAAAGAAGATCCCCACTGCACCCACATTCTAGGGACCCAAGACGCTTTGGCTCCCAGGGCACTCGATATACCCTTGGAAGAACACTCCCAGGAGAAGTAAACTTGGCCACTCTGCCATCATCAAGTTTCTCTGATCACAGAGTCTGGCCTGAAGAAGACAGAAGACAGCAGTGCACTTATGTTCACTGCGAGTGTCCAAGCCAACCGGCACCAGCTCACAGGCTGTGAAGAAGCTCAACGCTATTGCTGTAGCCAACACCAATACCCTGTTCAGGCCTGGTGGAGAGGAGAAGACGAGTGTCCCACTGGCACCTACCTGTGATGTCTTGGTTGCTGCCAACAACGCTGAGATCATCTACACTGAGTCAGGCTGGCTAATTCCAAATGTACGCATTTTTACCATTCAAAAACCAAAACCTCCTATTCTTCCATCTTGTTTGGTCACTCTGTCTCAGACAGTTTTCAGCCACTTGTAGCAGTGTGCTGGAGCCGCCCAGAGGGGCTCATGAGAGTAAATTCTCTTCCCAACCCCACATTCAGTGGCCTCTTGTCGGTACCTGGCAATCATCTATGTTGTAAGTATTTACACTGTAGAAATCAGAAAAATTGTAAAGGAAGGCATTTTGTTTTGTTCTTCATAGACAGCCACTTGTTACACATGTAGCAGCCCAAGGCAGTAAGTGGAGGGCTGGTTCCTGCAGCTCTCTATATCCTGCACGCCTTTCTCTCGGATGCCCATGCAGAGCAGAGCTTTCCACAGTGGAGTGTTCAGAAGAACCACCTCTAAAAGCCAGACCTCTTGTAAGGATACTTATTGTTGGGCTCATGCCTCTCTCCCGCTCCAGCTAATCCAGGATGATCATATCCTGAGATGCTTCACTTTATGACATCCACAGAGATCCTTATGCCACGTTAGGCCACATTCCCAGGTGCCAGGAATCAGGACTTGGGCATATTATTTTGGAGGCCACAATCCAACCTACTAAACCCATATGACCTGTGTCTAAATATTTAAAAGTTATAAATCAAGCTAACAACCTGGCAGATGACATATCTTTCATCTTCACATTTATACCACCACAATGACAAAGTTTCAAAATATGTGCGAAACTCTGGTTTCATATGACCAAAAATAAAATTTCAAGGTTGACTGAATCTAATCAACATTGTTTATCTGTAGGTGACCTATGGATACTTTGATAATATTTGGGTGAGTAATAAAGGTGCATGTAATTCATAATTATTATAAATGTACTGCATGAAGCTTACTTTTCTAATTTTCCATTAAATAAAGTCACTAAGTATGTTCCTATAATAATTTTCTATAATTTGTATTCAATTGATACAAACAAAGCTAATAAATAATACTTAACCACATAAGGTTGTTGTAAGGATGAATTGAGTTCAGGCTGCAAAAAATAAAATGTAGATTATATTCAAAGTATAATTTCATTTAAAATGCTAAGTGAGTAAAAATTTGTAAAATTGAATTTGCTTCTCAAAGAACTGTAGATCAATTTTTCATACAAAAATATTCAAAGTGATTTATTAAATTTAAAGGGTAACATATACTTGAATATGAGGGTGCTTCAGAAAGTTTGTGGGAAAATGGAATTAAAAGAAAAGTTGATGTTTGTGCAAAACAATTTTTTTTAAACTTTTATTTAATGCATATAAATTTCCAAAGTACAACTTATGGATTACAATGGCTTCCCCCCCATACCATCCCTCCCACCCACAACCCTCCCCTTTCCCACTCCCTCTCCCCTTCCATTCACATCAAGATTCATTTTTGATTATCTTAATATACAGAAGATCAGCTTAGTATACATCAAGTATGGATTTCAACAGTTTGCTCCCACACAGAAACATAAAGTGAAAAATAATAGATGATTTTTTTTTAAATGATGATGAAATCAGAGCAGACCTATTGTCATGTTTAATCCCAGTGAGAGACAAGTTGGGAATTGATAATTTCTTTTTTTTTTTTTTTTTTTTTACAGAGGATCAGTTTAGTATGCATTAAGTAAGGATTTCAACAGTTTGCACCCCCATAGAAACACAAAGTGAAATATATTGTTTGAGTACTCGTTATAGCATTAAATCTCAATGTACAGCACATTAAGGCTAGAGATCCTACATGAGGAGTAAGTGCACAGTGACTCCTGTTGTTGACTTTACCAATTGACACTCCTGTCTATGGCATCAGTAATCTCCCTATGCTCCAGTCATGAGTTTCCAAGGCTATGGAAGCCCTCTGAGTTCTCCGATTCTTATCTTGTTTAGACAAGGTCATAGTCAAAGTGGAGGTTCTCTCCTCCCTTCAGAGAAAGGTACCTCCTTCTTTGATGACCTGTTCTTTCCACTGGGATCTCACTCGCAGAGATCTTTTGCCAGAGTGTCTTGGCTTTCCATGCCTGAAATACTCTCATGAGCTTTTCAGCCAGCTCCGAATGCCTTTAGGGCTGATTCTGAGGCCAGAGTGCTATTTAGGACATCTGCCATTCTATGAGTCTGCTGAGTATCTCACTTCCCATGTTGGATCACTCTCCCCTTTATTTACTCCATCGGTTAGCGTTAGCAGGTACTAGACTTGTCTATGTGCTCCCTTTGACTCCCAGTCCCTCCACCATGACCAACTGTGAACTGAAATTGATCACCTGGAACAGTGAGATGGCATTGGTACATGCCACCTCGATGGGATTGAATTGGAATCCCCTGGTATGCTTCCAACTCCACCACTTGGGGCAAGTCAGCCTGAGCATGTCCCAAATTATACATCTCTTCCCTCTCCCATTCCCACCACCATGTTCAACAGGGATCACATTTCAGTTAATTTTCAACACTTAAGAATAACTGTGCATCAATTACAGATCTAAACCAGTCATATTAAGTAGAACAGATAAAAAAACTACTAAGAGGAATAATGTATTAAGTTGTTCATTAACAGTCAGGGCTATGCTGATCAAGCCACCGTTTCCCATAGTGTCCACCTCACTCCAACAGGTTTCCCTCTTGGTGTTCAGTCAGTCGTCACCGATCAGGGAGAACATATGTGCAAAACAATTTTGAAATCCATGCATAGTTTTTTCTTTTTTTTAAATTTTAGGTAGGTTATGCAAGTTTCATGTATTTCTTACGTACAGATTTAGGAACATAGTGATATTTCTCACCCTACCATCCCTCCTGCCCATGCTCCAACCCTTCTTCCTCCTCCCTCTCCTATTCCCACTCTTAATCTTACAAAGATCTATTCTCAGTTTACTTAATGATCATAAGGTTAATTGTACACCAAGGAAAGAGTTCAACAAATCGTGTGCAGAATAAAAAAATGCCACATAGGTTTTTCCTAATCTACATTTTCCATGAACTTTTTGGTATATAGATGGATTTCAAAAAAATTTGGGGTCAACATAAATTTTTATTCCATTTTCCACGAGGTTTTTGGATCACCTCCATGTTGTAATTAGTATCAAATTTTGAAAAAATTATTTATATTTCAATTTACCCTTTTGAGGTTTTAATTAAATCTTGATTATGAAAATAAGATTACCGCCGGCGCCGCGGCTCACTAGGCTAATCCTCCGCCTTGCGGCTCCGGCACACCGGGTTCTAGTCCCGGTCGGAGCACCGGATTCTGTCCCGGTTGCCCCTCTTCCAGGCCAGCTCTCTGCTGTGGCCAGGGAGTGCAGTGGAGGATGGCCCAAGTGCTTGGGCCCTGCACCCCATGGGAGACCAGGAGAAGCACCTGGCTCCTGCCATCAGATCAGTGCGGTGCGCCGGCCGCAGCGCGCTGGCCGCAGCGGCCATTGAAGGATGAACCAACGGCAAAGGAAGACCTTTCTCTCTGTCTCTCTCTCTCTCTCACTGTCCACTCTGCCTGTCAAAAAAATAATAAATTTAAAAAAAGGAAAATAAGATTACCTGCAGTTTGAGCAACATTCATCGATAAAGTTGAACAGGTAGAGATTCAGTGTTAGACCTCATACAAGTTGCAGGTAGACTTCCATGCATAGGAACTAAATGAAAGGTAATACAAACTTTATAATATTGCAAAATATTCCGCATCCAGGATGAGCAACTTATTCCGCATCCAGGATGAGCAACTTCTGTGTTCCTCCAGAACCACAAATTAAAAGACGAGGAGAAGGAAATAATAATAATAAAATAACAAAAAATAGACGGCACTACTAAAATTTAACATCATATTTTATTGTCCCAGACCTATTACATTCATGCTACCTGAGAGGAAGGCTTTGACGTGCTGACTTGTCCTTCCTCGTGCCCAAGTGCTTCCACCTCTCCAGCTCCCCTTGTCTTCTTCTAATGGGGACACAGCACAGGTGCATACCTGACTTGACTTGTGTTTCAAGAGCAGGATTGGGACAACCTGGATGTCTCTGAGCAGCACCTGCAAACTTCTCCCAATTTTCTTACACCCAACCCAATTCACATGTGTACACCACCAGCCCAAGCCCTGTGAACATACAACAAAGCACGGTTTTTAGAGTCACATGGAGGTGGATCTGGGTCCTTGCTCCATTTCTTATCGGTTATGTACTCTCAGGCTACTTACCTACCCTTTCAGAGCTCCAGTTTCTCATCTTTCAAAGGGGATAACAAAATACACATAGCTGGTTTGGGATGAAGAGTAAAGAAAGCGTGTTTGGCATGGTGTCTGCAGGCTAGATGCTCAGCAGTTGTTGCTTCTCTTCCCCTCATTCAGGCTTCTTGCCCCTCTCAAATCCTGCAGGAGAGTCAAGGTTTCTCAGCCCCAGTACTCTGCACCTTGCCGCTGAGTGGGGCCCCTTTCTTCCTCCTTTTGGATGAAGCAAGCAATTAAGGACTCGGGGGGACAACCTGCAAGCAAGAACTTAAGTCAACGAAATCCAATAAATGACTTCTTCTATTATGTAGAAATCATGGGTGCTCGTAGCTACTAATTGGCTGTCTTCCCTATTTTCCTTTACAGTGTGTAAGTAGTTCCTTAGCACAATTTTATTTTGGAGCTTTCTAATTATATTACTCCAGGCACCTACTGTCAATGAGCTTGCCCATGAGGGAGGGGGGGAGGTAGGGGGGTTATTTATGCATTCTTATATTCCACCAGCATTTATGGAGTAACTCTGATAATCTCAGCGTTGCAGATCATGCCAAAGTGTAATATGTGATCCCTGCCCTTGAGGAACTTAAAGACTCACTGGTGAGAAATAATAACTGTATGGGGAATTATTCAATCAAAGGTGTACAAACCAGACGATGAGTATTTAAGGGGAATGATGTTGTGGGAGGTTCAACAGTAATAATATATCTATAGCTATTTTTATATCCATGAAAATAAAGCCAATAGAAAAATATACCCAGCAGAAGGGAAATGGCGTAAACAGAGCCCTGGCAACTTGACTGAGCCAGTGAGGAGTCTGCTCCAGTTGGAGTGAAAGCTCCATGTGGAGTAATTGTGTTCCCACAGACACAATTAAGCTCTCAAAGATGACTATAATGCCACAGTGTTATTCCCGCCCCTGGCCTTTCTCTTCCTCGGATCAATCCATCATCAATCTAGTCTAACAAAACATTCTAAGTACTTTGTGAAAAATATCACCCTCCCATACCAAAACTGGCAGTGATTTCCCACTGCCTGCTCAATCCCACTGCTCACTGAATCCAAACTCCCCCATGGCACCTTGCAGCTCAGATGCAAGCGTAGGGAATGTCCCAGGTGAGGGCTGTGTCGGTCCATAGTCATTTGGCCTGGTACTGTCAGGGCAACCTCAGGTAGGACTCGAAACTCAGTCAATCTGTAGCAGGCTGATGGTTAAGTTGATGATTTTGTATGGCCCGTGGATGCTGTCATAAATATCCAAGTGGCCCTTGGCAGAAAGACATTCCCCACCCCTGACAGAGCCTCCAGGGTTGCATTGTAGTGCAATTGGTTAAAGGAAGGATAGCAAATTGAGTTTGAATCCTGGTCCAGCCATTGGCATGTTACACAGACCCCTAAGGAACACAATCCAACTTCCCTGTACCACATAGATCGTTGAAGGAATTACAACATTTAATGTACATAATACTACTGCTTGGCACATCGTCCACAGGAAATGGAGTTAGGCTATTAGTAGAGGAATAAAGACATTGATTAATGGAGCAAGGGAGTCTGGAGGGAAATCTCTTCTCCCAGCCCTAAAGCATCTGCGTGGTCCGAAGAAGACACAGATGATATACTTATCCCATCTGCATATGGTGCAAAGTGGGGAGGGCTAGCAAATATATTGGATGATAAAATCATTCCCAATACTGTGCTAAGAAGCAACTAAAAGGAATGGATTTAAAAAGAAACAAGGAATAGAGGTAAACACAGCCCAGTACTTGTCGTGCTGGTAAACCAGCTCTCTGGAAGAAAAATAAAAAGTCCTGGCTAGCAGCATTTGCTAAATTGTGTGCTATAAGGACTTATACCATAGCCAGTGTCAAGTTTTCATAGGATGTCCTGAACCCAAATTGGAAAGAGTTGCTAACTTGGCTTTCATGAGCTGGTGTGAGCGGATTCCAGGATACCACCAAAACCAGACAGATCTAAACAGGAAATAAACAAATGGTATGAGAAGAGATGTGCCTACTACCCTCACTGGAAGTGGTCTCCACTGACGGGAAAGCCATGGGTGCATCATGGAGAAGTGAAAAGTGACAGAGGAACCTTGGCCCTGTAGTCCACAGTAATGGGACCCAGTGCCACCTCCCCTGCTTGCTGGCTGCATGGTCTTTGATGAGTCCCTAAGCTCCATTTTAATCCTCATTTCCCCTTGTCTAAAATGAGGATGCTGATGCTGATGCCGATGCCTGCTTGATAAATGCATTCTCAGAGGGACACAGGAAACGTCGTGCTAAGAGCGAGCTCCGCAGTACGAAAAGGACAGGCAATCAAAAGGGGGAGAAGAGGCAAAAGGTGCGTGTGGATCATCTGTGTCTGCATCACTGATCACCCAAGGCTTGATTCTGTAAACAGCAGCTCTCTGGGTGCCCCTGGTGGTGGTCACAGTTTGGGCTGGGCTCAGAGAGAGTGGCTTTGTTCTTGCCCAAGAGGCTAGCAGGGCTGGCTCCCTCTGACGGTCGATGGCCACACTCGCATATTTGGAAGTCAGCTGTCAGCAGGACTCTAGGAGGCCACAACACCTTGGATCTGTCATCCTCCCGCAGGCCAGCCCGGCGTTTTCAGTTGCTGCTGGTGGTTACAGAGAAGCAGGAAATGGCACTCACCGGTGCACAAGCCACTTCTCAAGGCTCCTGGGTCTCTTCAAGGCTCCCATGTCCTTGCTTCATCGACCAAAGCAAGTCACGTGTCTAAGATCAATATGAGGGAATCTCTCCCATGGTGTGGATCCGTGGAGAATTAATGTGACCGTTTTTCTAACAATCCACCACAATGTAAGAGCAAGTAATTGATACAAGAGAAAACATAAATGGCAAAAAAAAGCATGAAAAAATACCCAACAGCACTAGTAGTAGAAAAATTAAAATTTAAATGAGATATTCTTTAACATCTATCAATGTGATAATCAAAAATTGATAAGAACTAAAGGATGGAATTAAAAATGGAGAAATGAGAAATCCCACTGGAGATCATAATTTGCCTACTCATAGAACTCAGTAATCAAAATTCAACTCCGCTGCCATTAATCAATATTGAAAATATAAATGTGAGTTCTAGAGTATCAGACAATAAGACTTGCACATTACAGAAGGCGTTTTGTTCTATGGATATATGCATATACAGCCAGATAATAAAACACGGATAAGAAAGAGGCACACCAACTTCAGAATGATATTTTTCTCTTGGGAGAAAAAGATGAGGAGCAAAGATCAGAAAACAAAGGAGGTTTCAATTTTTTTGTGTATTTCATTTCTCAAAACATTTAAAGTATGACAACAAAATGGAATATTCATTAAATTTGAGAGGCAGGCCCAGGAGCATTTGTTATGCTGGAAGTATCTGAAATATTCTACTAGTCTTCATCTGCTTTGTGACGCTAAGAGCAGGATTCCACAGGCTGGGCCACTGATGAAGAAAAAGTTTATTCCCTGCAGTTCTGGAAGCTGGGAAGTCCAGTATCGAGGGACTGGCCCGTAGCAAGGGTCTTCTTGCTGAGTCAGCACCTGTCAGACAATGAGATCGAGAGAGACCTGGACTGGGCTTTACAGCAAACTTCCTCTCTTGACAGCAAAACGCCACCCCAGGTAAGGACGCTCAGCCTGTCACGAAGGCGGTGCTCCTGTGACCCGCTGACCTCTTAAAGGTCCCACTCCCAACACTGGTGCACTGCGGATTACGCTTCCAACACGAGAACTTGGTGGGACACCTTCAGACCATGGCAGTGGGTTTGCAATATCTTATAATTAAAGTGACATTTACAGAAATAACAGCTAACAGCTCCTTTAAACGAAAAGAAAAAAGGTTAGAGGAACAAGAGGACTAATGGTTTTATAACCGCTTAATTTCACTGCCTAAAAAATGTGTTTCAGGGTACATTCGTGGATGTAGAGTGGAGCCAGCAGGTGCGCACAATCCTGCCCCGCTCTGTGGGGGTCAGACCATGTCTGAGCATGCTCTCTAAAGTACACTTGCTGCGGCCAGCACTGTGGTGTAGCAGGCTAAGCATCCCATGTAGAGGCTGGTTTGAGTCCCAGCTGCTCCTCTTCTGATCCAGCTCTCTGCTATGGCCTGGGAAAGCAGTGGAAGATGGCCCTAGTCCTTGGGCCCCTGCATCCACATGGGAGACCCAGAAGGAGCTCCTGGCTCCTGGCTTCAGATTGGCCCCACTCTGGTCATTGAGTATGGAAGACATCTCTCCCCATCTCTCCCTCTCTCTGTAACAAAACCTCTTATATAAATAAACAAAAATCTTTAAAAAAAAAGAATGCCTCCCAGCAGTGCGAGGGTGGCCATTCATTTGGTCAACCCTGCCACTTGTGCACCCACCCCTGTTGTCACCGTGCCAGCCCTGAGATTCCACAAAGGACAGGAACACGGCTCCATGTTCTCAGGAGCCTCCCTTCTGTACGGCACAATGTCAAGTGCACACAGGATATGGGCCTGGGGAGTAGGGGTGGTGGAGAGGAAAAACTCTGCCCCAGCCAAGCTGTAGGGGGAGTGATGGCAAAGCTGCCAGTCACCCCCTCCCACAGCGGCCTGAATCTGGAGGAACCCTGAAGACTTTAGATGGAAGAGCTCTGGGTGTCTGCCTGGACTGACACTCTCAGAAATCAGCATGTGTGCCCTGGCGGGAGGGGGTCCCCCCACAGCCCAGCCTTAGCATCACCAGGAGAACTTCAGCCCCCAGGCAAAACGAGATGAGAGCCCTATGCTCTATAGGCCCATTGTACCCCTCGCAGTCTGAGCTGCACAAAGAGTTTCTTTTTTTTTTTTTTAATGTTTTTAACTGTACTGTCTTTTTTATTTCTTTTCAATCCCCTATTTCCTATTCTGGAGTTATTGCCAAGAAATATTCACAGAAAGCATGCTAGGTTTCTGACAGTCTGTCATGGTGGAGACAGACGAGTGCTTCCTGTGTGTGTGCTACAGGCAGCCTGGTGTCTGGCTGGGCTGGGGCAGGGATGGGACGGCTCTGAGGACAACCTCTGTAGCTGCTAGCTCCCGACCACCCCAGGTGGCCTCCCTGCAGTACATCTGCTGACACGACGCAAGAATGCTGCAGAGCAAGGGACGGGTGGACAAACCCTGTGAAATGTCTTCACCGGGTTTTTAGGGTTCTAGAATGATGATTGCAGATAATTCCAGAAATGTTTAAGAAGACGGTACTGTCAGGCAATCTGATCTTTCGGAGAAAATCAGGTGAACACTGTGATATGGAGCCTTGAACATGTTTTGCACCACATACAGAAGCTTTGAGATAGGAAAGGGGGACCCTGCTATAAGCAGGTGCCCGGCACCTTGCTCCCCTCGCCCATCACGTTGCACCTTGGAAGCCTCTCCCATGCCTGGATATGCACACCCTGCTTGTTCTTTTTGGCACTGTTCTAAGCACCAGGGAACAGTAAGCAAAACTAAGGTGTTGCCCTCCTGAGGTTTCATTTTCTAGCACAGAGCAAGAAATAGACAAATCCACAGATCCATCTGGTGATGTCCAAGGTCACATTTTACGAAAGATCCTGCACAGTGCAGGTTAGTGAGGATTTGGAAGGATGCTGCTTAGATGGCACAGCCGTGGAAGGCGTCTCCCAGGGGCTCTGCGCCAGGGGTCTCTCTCCTCCCGCTGCATAACACGGCGCTCCCAAACAGAATGGTTTACAGTGGTGAGCTCTATTATCCCACAGTCCTTACAGGACTGAAGCACCACAACCCAGGAGTGCCTTAGCCTTGTCCTCTGCTTCCAGGGACTCTCACAAGCCTGTAGTTACCCGAAGGCTCCACTAGGGGCGCACTCACTCCCATGAACACAAGGTTGCAGGCTGCAACTCCTATTTTTACAGGCTGTTCTTTTTTTTTTTTTTTTTTTTTGACAGGCAGAGTGGACAGTGAGAGAGAGAGACAGAGAGAAAGGTCTTCCTTTTGCTGTTGGTTCACCCTCCAATGGCCGCCGCGGCCGGCGCACTGCAGCCAGCGCACCGCGCTGATCCGATGGCAGGAGCCAGGAGCCAGGTGCTTTTTCCTGGTCTCCCATGGGGTGCAGGGCCCAAGCACCTGGGCCATCCTCCACTGCACTCCCTGGCCACAGCAGAGAGCTGGCCTGGAAGAGGGGCAACCGGGTTACAGGCTGTTCTTGAAGGACCTTTTGTTCTTCATGGGCTGTTGGCCCTAGGCCTCCCTCAGTTCCAAGCCACCGGGGCCCCTCCATGGAGAAGCAGGCAACAGCAGCAGCCTGCGTCATCAGAGAGAGCAAGCACGGATATGGGTGCAGGGTGGGGAGACACAACGGAAGCCACGATATATTATTATATTTTCATACTATATATTGTATGAAACTATATATCAAGTATCAGAAGTGGCACCCATCTGTTTTCTTATTTCCTAGTCACTAGTATCAGGTCAGCAGGTGCATCCCACACAAACGGGAAGGAACACAAGTTGGGAACACGGAAGGGGGGATCCCAGCGGTCACTTTGGAACCGCCCTCCCATAGTTGCTGTCTGACCCAAGGCATAAAGAGAGCAGGTGCTTCTCTGGGAGGGAAAGAATCCACCAACAAGAACGGGCAAAGCGAAGGGCGCACAGTGGAAGCCCCTGGATCACAGGGAGGAGCAGCCCCAGGCCCCTCTGGCTGGAGCCGGGCAGGGAAACAGTGGTGGGAAGTTAGACTGAAGAGGGAGGCAGCTGACCAGACCACGGCACGCCTCGCAGGCCGTGCGAAGGACTTGGAGTTTTATATCAGGAACGAGAAGCTAGAGTATTCCCTAGTCTGCATCATCCTATTTATTTACCTAACCCTCTACCGATGAGGTTGATTTCTAGTGTTTCTGAGAATGCCACACCCTTCGTGTGTGTGTGTGTGTGTGTGCACACGGGGAACCTAAGGGGATTTTTCTGGATTTAAGTATTTGTGACTCAAATATGGATACACCCATATTGCCAAACTGCATTTAAGAAAAAAAAAAAAGGCTTTGCCCATTGGTTCCCAAGACAGCGTGCGGGAGGAGGGCCCTGTGCTAGACTTCTAGTAGGTAGACAGCAAATCCAGACTAGCTGCTACATCACCACATCCTACCCCTCCCACCACCACCACCCACCCCACCGCATGGGAGCTTCTGGAAGACTGAGACATTATCTTATGCATCTTTGTAGTCCCAGGAGTCCCTCCCACAGTGCGCTGCACAATTATTTGTGTGATGATTTGTGTTTGTGTCAAACAAAGAAATTCACACTTGAATGAATGAATGGATTGCATGCCCTGTCTTCATATGAAGGGATTTAGCTGCCAACTGTTACTTTGTGTACAACTGGGAATCCTTGAAGGATTTTGTGGAGATTAAATAACATAAAGTAATGTTTTAAGAAGGAATTTA